TGAGATACCATGCCACAGTGAAGCATGAATACCCCACTCAGACACATTATACTGACTCCGAGCCGACCAGTCCTTGTTGTACCCATTAATGCCGAGCGCCAGGCAGGGACCAACAAGTACCATATTTTAACGTCTTTTGGTATGACGCAGTCGGGGATCGAACCCGCGACCTTCCTCTCTCCGGGCGGATGCTCTAACCACTACACCACGGAGGCGGCCGATTCCTGACCTGAAACCTGACAGTGAACAGAGCCAAGATATGTTCTGCTCTGTGTGTAAGGTGGCACAGACGTAAAACAGGTTTGCATAAAAACAGTTTGTGTAAGCTTTCCGATTAACAGAGTCTTTGCAGACACAAAACATTACACCCTATACTCAAGCACATGAGAATGGAGGCAAATCATTCCACTGCAAAAAATGTACAATTGTTCAAATCATTAAATGTTAAAACCAATTCAATTTCAGCCATGGTAGCACATACATAAATTTTACTCTCAAATGTCCAATTTCCTTCATGCCCAATCCCATCCAGGATTTGGTTACACTTTCTTTACGAATGTTTTATGTCCATTTGTTGTCGACACAACATGACGTGTCATCCCTTGGGTCCACTTCTACATGCCAAGGACACCCGAACCGCGAGACAGAGAGCTTCTGCCACTCCCGACATACCTGATAAAGGGCCCAATTTACAGTTCAAGTTTTCTTGTGTATATAACACTGTTTACAGAATACAGTGTGTGAGTGTGAGTGAGGTTAGTTTTACGGCGCTTTTAGCAATTTTCCAGCAATATCACGGCGGTGGACACCAGAAATGGGCTTCACACATAGTACCCATGTGGGGAATCGAACCTGGATCTTTGGCGTGACAAGCAGATGCTTTAACCACTAGACTACCCCACTGCCCCTACGGAATACAGAGCTGAATGGGTATATAATTGCTCAGAAGCTAAAACTGAACAGTTCTCCTGTCATCAAAATTTAAATAGATTACTTCCCCTCAATCTCGCTCAAATTTAACTGTTTGTGTATAACTTTAATACAAACCCCCTTATCACTTTCTTAGCGTTTGGGGAGCTTATTATGATGTATATGGTACCGATACATTATTTTATTTTTTGTTCCGGCCTGGTGTAATCTAAACTGACTTGGGGGCATTGGTGTGTTCATCCTTCAGGGTTAAGCTTCCTTCTAGTACTAGCAGTCATTTGCTCAATCCTGCAACTCTGACAATTCAATCCCACATGTCCATTCAAATTTTCTTTCTGGAAAAATTCCTTTTCCAGCAACCTCATAGAAATTGTCTCCACCGCACAACAAACTATCTCTTAAAACATTTTTTGGGGAACATTCGCAAAGCCATTTTCAGAGCAGATTTAATTCCCTCCTCTGTGTCCCATTAGAGCTGACAATAGCTTCTGACCCCTGGTACTAAATCTTCATTGAACATAAAAATCATCGGCATTTCTTTCATTCTGCACAAAGGAAATGACAATGTGGTGTCTTGCCTTCACTTTGAGGTCCATGTTTTCAAAACACACGTTAATTATTTCCTTTGGCTTATCCCTCACCGAGCCACACATGGTAATTGTGCAGAATTCCAACATACAAAGACTGTGTCACCAGTTCCAATGGCCGTATCTGGATCACCCCAATGCTTTCACTGTTGCCATGGAAACAGGCAAACATACACCATCCCTTCCTGGCTCCAAATCTCTTGCCTCTCGGCTTACCTCGTGTACTTGCTAAAGAATTCTAGCATTTGCAAATGCTGGGACTTAAGTCGTGACAGTACGTTTTTTCAAAGTACAGCCAGAACATATAGTTTGTAATAAGACCAAATGAGATGTCGCAATTTGTCGCTGTAGATAATTCAATTTCAAATGTCACATCCATTAGAAATGAATTTTTAGAACCAGGACCTAGATTTTCGAAGCTCTCTTATCGCTAAGATAGTCGTAAGTTAATGTTAATGTATGGCACTTACGACTATCTTAGCGTTAAGAGAGCTTCGAAAATCTGGGCCCTGGTCCCTAATGCTAAGGAGACTGATCAATAGCTGCTTATAATAGCCATGACACTACTAAAATCCTTTTGTGAAATATGGCTCTGGATAGACAACACTCTCATTTTATATTATCAATATCCTGTACTGACAAACTTGACCTAGGAATTACTCTCGATAATGATGATGTCAGATCGAATGGAAACCGCACAAGATTCACAAGATTATGATTTCAACAAGCCCTCCTGATATTTGGCTTCTGTAAATGGGACAACAGTTTAAAAGTGCCCATACATATGTCTTTGGATGACAATTAGAGGAGAGAGAGGTTTTTTATATTGATTCTCATCTAAACTCAGGTTTTATAAGGCTCAACAGGGCAGATTCTCATTGCCTGTGAACACACTTCTGATGTTTTCAATAAGGTTTTGGCTTTTCCAATAACCCTTAACATCAAATGACCATGCAAATCTTTCAGTGAGGCTATCAACATCAAAACCTGGAATTGATCCTCTGCAATTTCCTTCACATAAACAAGACGCTTCTTTACCATAAAACGTCCTATTGCCGCTGAAAGCATTAGAACAATTCTTCCGCCAAATATGATGACCTAAACCAAGATGAATCCTGGCTTTGTCAAAAGGTGGTAAGTACCTCTAATTCAGGACCACACTGTCTGGCATAGAAATAGCAAATCAGACTTTGAGTGTCTGAATTGAGGATCAAAGGGCCACAGATGCCATCAGACAGAACCCTAGCTTTATGACTATTAAAGATTAATGTGTCTCTCGGACTGAGTGGACTGTTGTAACTTCGTCCGGGGTTACCACAGAGAGACAGAAACGCATGTCCGAGTCGGACCATGATGCATAGCTACAACATGGTGTTAATTGAAGCACATAGACAAGATGGCTCAGGATCAATAATCATGGCCTGCATTAATAGCAATGCCAATGCTGGGATGTCCGCTGCAAATTTGTTCTATCAATATACATCATTTTCACACACAATAATCACTGCTCGTTACATTCACACATGCTATCGTACTGAAATTAAACATTTGTTGTCCATTGGCACAGACACCTTGTATTTATAGTGATACTCCTATTGTCATCGAACGGAGCACACGTATCAAGTACATAGCTGTAAATTATCAGGAGAATGTGTTTAAAGTGACACTGATTACAGGCAAAACATGGTGAACATACAACAGATCATATAAATACCTTGATATTGCAACATCTAACATACTCAATGCTGTATATGAGAAGCATTAAATTCATGTTCTGTTGTTGACAGAGACATTATTAGCCGAACATGTTTCCACTTCGAAAATATCATTTGTTCAGAATCCACATTGTATTACAAAGTCTATGACCATGATGGCAAACATACACATATTTTTGTTTATGATATTTATGACATAGAAAAACACACAGGGATAATATGCTGTTGATCATAAAATGTCATTTCTAAATCAGTTTAAGAAGTAACTGAGAAGATTATGTATTAATACAACGTGAAACATTGACGCCAGGGAATAATCAGACTTAATTATCGTCTAAACCAGATTCCATTGGGCAAAAGGGGCAAAATCGCTGTGAAAGTTCCACGAAAGTATCACTGAAAATCAGAGATGACGCCAACTGTTCGTGCAGAGAGTATGCACTTCCTGTCCTCCCGGAAGCACCTACCACTCACAAAATTAGCATCAAATAAAAGCGTGTGTTTGCTGACTCAATATATTGCGCACAGGAAATGCAATATCTGCGGTGAAACGTGTTTGAAACATGCATACACATTTAATGCCCCTATCTTCACTAATTAGGAACGCGAAGCAACAGTTTATTGAACATGTTGTTACAACATGGACAAAGTGGGTTCTTAAATTCAGGAGTCTTTTAACATTCAATGTCTACAATAACATAACATTCAATAATACAAAATTTTCATTAACACCTGTTGACCTTTCTTCAGATATAAATGTCATACAGGCCGCCACACAGGATATAGCAATATCAACATAAAGTAGGAACATAATAATTTCTGTCTGAGAATTTCTATTGATATTTGATGTAGACTGGAGGGCCCAAAACAGACCTACAAGCTGGTCCAGACAAAGCCCTGTGTCCGGACAAAATGTTAAACACTTCTTAAACAATTATCCACTTACTTATACAGTTGGTAAAAAGACATTTCGACCTCAACATATTAAAGCCTAATATTAAAATGAGAATGATGTATGCATTAATATCAACAAAAACATTCATCACAAATAGTATCTTTTCTTAAAATAGCAATGCTAGTGTATATGAATATGTACTGGCAACTGGGTAGCGATTATGCAATGTGTACACTGTGTCCAGATCATTGCTGTGGAGATATATTCCTTGTACTGTTCTAAATAGTCTGTTGAACAAATAACATGTTGAACAAAGTAGACCAAAAAAATGTTCCTCCAATGAATAACTCAGATGTGCTAATATGAGTCACATCTTAAAACAATGAATACAAATACTAAAGGTTGTAAGATTGACTGTTGTGCTGCATACAAAATATATTTTGTCTTCAGTTTGTTACAGAAAATATGAAATGATTTGTATTTTAGAGAATGGACAAAAACATGCACAAGTTTCCAGGAAGGCTGTTTCACGGTATTAGTTGATCTACATAATACATTCATTAGAAAATGAAAATGTTATTTCTACCCTAATTTCTTTGGACTTCTTTGAAAATGGAATCCTAAATTACCTTAAATAAAGTAGACACAGAGACTAAACAGAGATGCACATTACAACCAGTATGTTCGTCCTGGACTGGTGAATATATAGTGGCACCAGTTTTCTCACATAATCTAGTTATTTTACATTAAGCACTATAGTCTGTAGTGTGCCTGTGGTGTCTACCCAGTCTAAACATGCAAGTAGAGGCAGCATTGGCTGTTGATGACGTAGAATCGCTAATGGATCAGGATGGAATTGAATAATGTACTCACTTTTTCCAGTGTTTTCCTTGGCCTTGCTTCTATGAAGGACAGAAGGCCACAGCACAGGAACAGAAGAATGTACCCCCTTTACCAACTCCATTGCGTTCACTCGTACAATCACGCCTCACTCATAGCCTGTGGACAGACAGGGAAATCACTTTCGTGAACTGATGTCGTGTTTTGTATACATGGAACCACAATGTAAGCAATAGCATAACCTCAGCAATTTTAGTAACGCGAGATTCGGAACTCAGTTATCAATAGCATGAAGATGCTAAGTTGTCATTACCTGAAACAGAAAATTTACTTTTGGGGTATCAACATTGGACTTTAAACAGTAAATACATAAAATACAGTGATCAATGTTCAGCCCACCAATAAGAAGCACCAAATTATTCCCAAGTTTTGGATACAGCAGAGCTACAAATAACTTTTTTGGGTTATTGAGTTATGTACTCGCTGTGTTCATCACAATTGGGTATCCTAATTTTCCTTTGAGTAACCAAATAAATTGTACTCACCCCACTCAAATTCAATTGGGTATTTTGCTATTTTCCATTAATTTTAAAAATATAATGAAGTTTAAATGTTAGTGTTTGTTATTTATATTTGATCTGTAATATGGGAAACGGTAAGAAAGACTGCAAGTCCTGAAATAGAACCTCTCAATGTACCTGTTATTTTATCTATCCACCGGTACGCAAGCTAAGATTTGACATTTTTGTCTGTATGCATTTAAGATCACATTTATTGAGTATTTACAAAAATTCAAGCATACTTGTACGCAATAGACTTAATAGGAATTGAGTTTTCACATAAATATTTGCGTAATTTATGCAGATACGCAGCTTGTCTGTACCTCTAATTTAGTGTCAAATTTCTAAAAACAAGGTTGGATTCAACACTTTGGTAGAATATATGTCCAAATACCATCTATTGTACTCCATGTAAATAAGCCTGATTAACTTACTCTCTCCCGTCATGCAATACAGAGAATCAAGTTGGGTTTAAGCTGACAATGACAGGTATACATTTCAAAATAATTAGGGGGACTTCTTACTGAAATTACAAGGACAAACGGTATAGGCTTAGAATAGCATGTGATACGGCTGTTTCACACCTTCTTGTACATGGCTGGACAACTTCAACGGATTACAACAATGTCTTTAGAAGGAAAATAATGGATGTTAAAATCGAGGACAGAACCTTTGCATGCTTGACTGAACAGGGGTATCTATGTCTAAACACCTACTTCACTTCAGTTACTGTGCAAAACCAACTATGTTGGTGCATTTCCTTATGCAGATGCATGTGACTACAAGCTGAATTACAGCAAATAGAGAACCATTATCTTAACAATTTCTGATCTTTTGCAATCAACTTTATTACAACATTGCTGCCAGGTTGGTAATTTGTTGAGTAGGAAGGAACAAGACTTGATGAGTGAGTTTAGTTTTACGCTGCACTCAGGAATATTCCAGCTATGTGGCGGCGGTCTGTAAATATATAAGACTTGACCAGACAATCCACTGATCAACAGCATGAGCATCGATCTACGCAATTGGGATACAATGACATGTCAACCAAGTCAGCAAGCCTGACCACCTGATCCCGTTAGTCGCCTCTAACAACAAGCATGGGTTACTGAAGATCAATTCTAACCCGGATCTTCATGGGTCAGGACTTGATGATGATATATTTATAAGCACCAAATTATATTCATCATGTGGTTGTCCATAACAGTAATATACGTGGAATGTTGACAATGGCACAGTTTCATTCATTTCAATAAGGATATTGCTTTTCAGATGAATATGTATCACAGATAATAGGCATCATTGATGCAACATGTGTTTATCAATTTTAATCGTCACATCTGTTTTCATACAAGTCTTGATATAGCTTTATTCAGCAAACAGCCAGGATGTCGGGGAGGAAGGAGAATGGTTCCATGCCACTTCCAGCAACATTCCTGCACATCATTGCTGAGGACCCAAGAAATGGTCTCCATATTTGTTATAGTTTAGGGAATAGCATAATGAGCTAACAGCCCCAACAGTTGCAGGGATTAAATTAAAGAGTGGAATCTACTACAGAGTCGGTTCCAAATATACTGCTACAGTCCATTTGATTTCATTTGAGACCGATGAATAACTCACCAACACAAAATCAAATAATTGCAACAAAACCAACCAGTCACATGAAATCGACAGACCAACTCTGATGATTTGTCTCATGATTTTGGAACCCAGATAAAAAGGTTGTTTAACAAACAATCATTATTTTGTTGTCACTTTTTGCATTGTTTTACGAGGGGGGACCACTAGCTAGTAGAACAGCCAAGTGTTGGAGTTGCAGGTGGTAAATAGAAATTTCACTACACACACTTGTTGATTACCAGGCTGATTACCAGGCTGATTACCCATCAGCATGGGATGCCTGGAACCAAAGTGTTTATCACTCTAGGCATGTACTGTCACATACCATGGTAAGATTTTTGACAAATGGAATATGTCAATATAAACGTCCAGGACCTAACTTGCTGCTGCACATGCTCTTGGCAGTAGACAAGGTAGAAAACTTTCAGAAACTGGGCAGAGAAATAAGAATCATGTGAAAAAGTGATAATATTACTATTAAACGTTACAATACAAAAATACAACATAAACGCATCATAATCTTCAAATAGAAATCTGAAAAGATGTGGTTTTGTGCTTAAATCACCAGACACACTGAATGAGATTCAAAACCTTAGGATGATGCTGTGTTTGCTCACCTCATGTCAAAACTCAAAAACAAATTTTGGTTGCCATTTTCAGGGATGGCAACAGGAACATCTATTTTCAGCTGAAAACTTAATATTGTGTCATCGAGTTGAGGGTTTCTCAATGGATTTAGACGATTCACAATTGAACAATTTGAAATAAAATCCGCGGAAATCCGCGGAAAATTGACATCCCTGCATTTTGCAAAATATTCCAAAAAATGAAGATGAGTTGTCAAACCTTGTCAGCAACATGGATAGGGAAATATGTATGAAATATGTATCATCCTCTGAGCCCACTTAGTTCAATGCCTGCTGATACTTGGCGTTGAACCATGAACTGTACATATCAACTCACTAATCTGCTAATTAGGCATGTGGTTTCCACTGATACATAATGGCAACAGTTTCTTCAAATTGTTGTCCATACAGATCTCAAATAATGTAAATAAGCTAAATATTATATTTAACAAAGTTGAACAATATCAATCAAGCATAAGCTACTTTGCCACAATCATCATCAGACAGAAATTCTGTCATCATCATCACAGACATCCATAACATAAAGGCTGTACATTATTAATCATTTGATTAATTATAATCTTAAGTGAGACACAGTAGCACAATGACGTAATGTGAGTTATATCAAAACAAAAATGTCCTATACAACATAATCAAGTAATGAGACAAGATGCAGAGCTTGAAAGAATTTTCGTCTGGAAAATATTTCTGGTCTTCAAATATAAAAATAAATATATTTGTTCCAGACCGAGTCTATACAAAGTGGTAGTTTATGAAATAGTGCTGTAATCATTCATCCGGATGAGTCATAGCAACAATAGATACTTCACTGACAGATGACAAATAGAGACATCATTCCGATTATGTCAATAAACACGGCCCGAGCATGCCCAGAAATACCCTTTGAAAGAAAATTAAAATATCTAAACCACGACTATCAGACGATCAGGGCGTAGTGAAAAGAAAACACTGTTCCCTGGATATTAGAATAAATAACGCGGTCCTCTACGAGTCGTCTGCGGCGTTATGTCATTATACCAATTCCAGTGCCATGATATGGCCTGATGCTTTCAAAACTCGCACCTGCGCAAATTCAAAATCAGGCGTATACATGCACCGACCTTACACCTTGTTAAATAGGTATCCGCTATTTCAACAGTAGTCCAAGGATAATTGATACAGATATACACTGAAAGCAACACAAGCAGACGAAATGGCAGGGTCCTCAGACGAACCGTTTTCACTCACCGGTCACTCTCCAAGAACCATACGATACACAGCTTCCGGCCGAAAGATGGCGCCCTTAGACTGGTCTATTTATACAAAGGGAGACAACCTCACAGCGCATTAACATAAATGGTTACAAAATGGCCACATATTTGTCAAGACAATTCGTTAACTGAACCACATCGTCTCAGTGATGTTCTCAAAATATGTAAAGGTATCATTTACGTTTCTAACACAAGATTCAAGACATTAAAACGTGGGGATTTACCTTTGATAAATGGACTATTCCAACAAAGGTTTTTGTGCAAATCAATTTAGATTTAATAATTTATTCCCTTATAATGGTCGGCGCACGGGCTAATCTGATTCGTTCAGAGAATGTATGGTTATACAGGCTGTCCAGGTGCCGTCCGTGTTCGTCGGATGAGAATCACTTCACACAGACACCACTCTCTCTCACAATCGTTCTAACGGGACAGTGCCATGACGGAAATCGATAATGTACATTATCACGCGCAAAACCTTGCATAATTAATTTATGCCGCTCTGTGGTACTTTGTACACAATAACAGCTTTGCTCTATAGCAACATATGTCGCATTACAACCAGTATCGATTTCTACCTACCGTAACCCATTGTATTCGTTTAACGAAGGCTTCATCCACGAGGCTTTGTTTTGGGCCATTGAGTCTGGTCCTGCTTGGGTTAATTGGACAGTGTTTTCGAGACAAAGCATTTTGCACGATAAAATACCATTTATATGTGGACGACCTTGGATCCCGATAGAATACGCAACATGCACCTGCATGTAACATCAATAAATTATTGTCTGACCTGCCACCATTGTTGTCTGAACAATATTGAATACATGGTGAATCTCACCCGGTGACTTTCAATATTACAATATCAACATGATTCCATAGCTTACATGTCTGAAGCTTTATACTGAGATTCTGTTTACCATCCAAACTCTTTTTGTCTACTTTATCCGTATTTAAACATTAATAACCAGTGGTCTGAATGCGGAAAGTACAGTTATTGCCCGCTCAAGCGGCATAAAGACTATTAATGTTATTTGATTGTGACGTCATGGTAACTTGATGTCACAACGGACAAATCATTGTGATGCAATTTCAGTATAGTGATATCTCATTGGATATACAGTTTGTTATCACCTTTCAATGACATATTTTGGGTATATATTATGTCCAATTTATTCTCCAGAACTCAAAGTTATGAGGAATATGCGTGGCGGAATGCCTCTAATCTCGAAAATAATGCAAATGTGAAATAAACATATAAAAGATGGATGAGTTCATGAAACGTCCACATGGCGGTGTTGTATTTATTTATTTATTTATTTTTTTACTTACTTACTTACCTGTTATAGGTGGTTGTTTACTCACACTTAACCAGGAATGACAATTGGCAATTTCGACAACAGTCCTACGACTTGTTTGAGGCAACTAACTCATGCTGCCAACCCTCTTTTATCTGATTTATAAATTTATTTAAAATATAAAATTATGCAAACTGGACAAATATCCCTTTTGGTACTTGTGAACAGGGTTAAGCCTTGATTATATCGCCGCACAGCCCAGTCACGTCCAGCGACTGCTGGCTATCACACTAAGCCGCGATTCAGTCACTCTCGAGCCGGCTAAAGGCATTGAGGACATAAGGTTACGGCCCTTCTGCTAAGACGGATGAAAAATCAAAGTGGCGACCCGGGAGTCAGTTAGGGCATTGACACGGGGGTGGCTTTCCAGGTACCAGGCGTATAAAACGAGAACAAAGGAATCACGGTCATTAATTTCACTACCGTAGTTAACCAAGTGTATACTGATTGACTGAGTTTAGTTTTACGCCGCTTTAAGCAATATTCCAGCAATATCACGGCGGGGGACACCAGAAATGGGCTTAACACATTCTGCCCATGTGGGGAATCGAACCCGGGTCTTCGGCGTGACGAGCCAACGCTTTAACCACTAGGCTACCCCACCGCCCCACCAAGTGCATAAGGTATGGCAAGTTACATCAGGGGCGGATACAGCTTTTTGAGAATGTGTGTGTGTGTGTGTGTGTGTGTGTGTGTGTGTGTGTGTGTGTGTGTGTGTGTGTGTGTGTGTGTGTGTGTGTGTGCGCGTGTGTGTGTGTGTGCGCGTGCTATTGAGAAAAGGGATGGTGCACACTTCAGTTTCAATGGTCATTTAATAAACTTTCAGGACAAAGGGGGGGGGTGGTGCGCACCCCTGCCCCCCCTCTGGATCCGCCTATGAGTTACATGCATTTCATTGGTTTCGCACTCCACTATAGTACACACACATATATAAAGGGCAAGTGGTCCGTGAAGGCGGTGATCTTAGGCCCTGCGTGGATACCATCAGAAATTGCCACCAGCCAAACATCGTCTAAAATGGTAGAGTGAGTGAGTGAATCGGGTTTTACGCGGCTTTTAGCAATATTCTAACAATATCATGGCGGGGTACAGAAATGGGCTTCACACGTTTGTCGAGTAACACAACAGAAGGACCCCGGTTGTCCTCACTATATATATGGAACGGTTTGTTCTACCTCCATGAATATAAAGTACAGTTTGAACCTGATCTATAATAGTTAAAGCACAGGGGCATTCATCTTTCTAAGTGCTTTGTCTAATACATCCGCTTCATGACGAACTGCTTCATCTAAATTTGAAATATCGTTGTCTGTTTAAATTAACTGTATTTTTGCATGGTACACTTGAAGTATTTGTACACTAATGTATACTCATGCCAATAATGGTTGTCACCCCCCTCCCCACCCTAACCCCACACACACCTCACACCCCCAGCCAACACCCTCTCCAATTAAAAAAATTGAAGGGGGTGACAACCATTATTGGCATGAGTATATTTCTGTAAGTCATATTTATATAATATAAGAGAATTCATATAAAAACATAATTCACGCTTATCCTTCCTTGTAGCGCTCGGGGTACCAACAGCAGGATCCCTCGGAATAGGTGTTCGGCATTCTGTGGGATATCTGCCGGCTCTATTACACCGCTGTACCTAATGTAGGGTTGAGGTGGGTTGAGCGCCGCTTTGAACAGGAAGCATCATGGCCAGTTCGTCAGCTTGTGGACGTGAAAACCGAAGTGACTCGATCTCAGACGCTTACCACTTGGGTGAAACCAACACGTACAGGCATGGTGCTAAGAAACCTAACAACCTAAACAAGACTAATATGGGATTCGAACCCACAGATTTCTTCCTCGCCGAAGTGATACTAATTTAGAAAATAAGCTGGATAAACACGTCTTTGGTAGTCTCATTAGCCTCGCTCCATACTATGCTTACCCCAACAGAGTTTAGTGAGTATGGTTTGTGGCCACAATCAACAATATTCCATCAGCTGGACACTAGGCTACAACACCATCCGAATCATCCGTGATACTGATAGGAAGGACAGTCGAGGATGTGCATTTCAGTGAATGTATTGCAACGAGTACGATATAAACACATAAGTAAAAAATTCGAAGAAATGCATTTTGTTTGAAAACTAATGGATGATTCTTTAAATTGCATCCTGATGTGACGTGACATGCTCAATCTTAAATATTGTGCTTACTTTTATCATATTTTTTGCGTGTAGTGATGTGGAGTTCACTGTGTGATGTGGTGAAGGAATGGCGTCCTCGTTTCTTCATACAGTGTTGATGGGATGGCGTCCTCGTTTCTTCATACAGTGTTGATAGGATGGCGTCCTCCTTTCTTCATACAGTGTTGATGGGATGGAGGCCTCGTTTCTTCATACAGTGTTGATGGGATGGCGTCCTCGTTTCTTCATACAGTGTTGATGGGATCGGGTCCTCGTTTCTTCATACAGTGATGATGGGATGGCGTCCTCGTTTCTTCATACAGTGTTGATGGAATGGCGTCCTCCTTTCTTCATACAGTGTTGATGGGATGGAGGCCTCGTTTCTTCATACAGTGTTGATGGGATGGGGTCCTCGTTTCTTCATACAGTGTTGATGGGATGGGGTCCTCGTTTCTTCATACAGTGTTGATGGGATGGGGTCCTCGTTTCTTCATACAGTGTTGATGGGATGGGGTCCTCGTATCTTCATACAGTGTTGATGGGATCGGGTCCTCGTTTCTTCATACAGTGTTGATGGGATGGCGTCCTCGTTTCTTCATACAGTGATGGGATGTCCTCGTTTCTTCATACAGTGGGATGGCGTCCTCGTTTCTTCATACAGTGTTGATGGAATGGCGTCCTCGTTTCTTCATACAGTGTTGATGGGATGGCGTCCTCGTTTCTTCATACAGTGTTGATGGGATGGCGTCCTCGTTTCTTCATACAGTGTTGATGGGATGGCGTCCTCGTTTCTTCATACAGTGTTGATGGGATGGGGTCCTCGTTTCTTAATACAGTGTTGATGGGATGGGGTCCTCGTTTCTTCATACAGTGTTGATGGGATGGCGTCCTCGTTTCTTCATACAGTGTTGATGGGATGGGGTCCTCGTTTCTTCATACAGTGTTGATGGGATGGCGTCCTCGTTTCTTCATACAGTGTTGATGGGATGACGTCCTCGTTTCTTCATACAGTGTTGATGGGATGGCGTCCTCGTTTCTTCATACAGTGATGATGGGATGGCGTCCTCCTTTCTTCATACAGTGTTGATGGGATGGGGTCCTCCTTTCTTGATTTTATTTCCTTGCCAGTCGAAGACATTGAAGAGTGAGTTATATGATACGGAGCTGTACAGGTAATTATCCATAATGTTATTTGACAAGCCATAACGCGGTCCACGGACATTTTTTGGCATTTTACATATCATATATGGTCTGAATATGAACGAGTAGTATTGACAGGCATTGTGAATGTGCTGGATCACGGTCGACGCCGCCAAATATATATGCATGGGGTTCAAACATTGTACACAACCCGGAGTCAAACATCTCAAACCCGGAAAATGTCAAACCCGGGACGTCGGCAGTATCAACGAAAGACGCATGTTTAACCCCTCTTACACTCCTGGTCGCAAGGTGTAATGTGAAACGGCGTCATGGCAGCGTCAGCATAAGCTCACGTCATATGTCGAAAGGACGTTTTTAACTCTTAGCTGTCCCACTGAT